GTTCAAAAGAATCTATTCTTCGGCGCTGTTTAGGTTAGTTCACTTCATTTAGTTGTTGCTGCCCTCTGCAGGCTGCTTTATTGATTTATACTGGAAAGGCATTTGTTACTTGTAAAACCAGATACATTTTATATGTGCGAGCTGCTGGTGACTGGATGCTTCAAGCATGTGACCAAAAGATTTGTTAGGCTCCTGAATCTCCTGTGTTTATTTTCTCTCTAGACATCTATTAATACTTGTGGCTGAAGAGAAAATCTTCTAAGCACCATTCTGAGTGCAGGCGCTATGTGTATGCGTGTCCAGATTGCAGAAGGGAAAATGGTGCTTGAAATTACTGATAAAATGGAGGGCAAAAAGGCAGAGAATGAAAGAGATTTTTAAAAGGTTGGAAGCAGCTACACTTGATCTTAGCCAAAGGTCTGAGGAGCAACTGTCAGAAAAGTATGAAGCAAGGGGGTATCTGCAACCTCAGAGCAGGAATTGGAGGATTTACTATAATCAGCTGGTAACAAACAAAATATTCTTAAGAATACACTGGCACGTGAGAAAATTTATTTCCAATAATTTGTAAAACTGTTATTTTGTTCATTTTTTAAGGAAGATATCTTTGATAGGGGGGGAAACCCTTTGAGACATAAACTGAAAGCAGAATCCAACAAAGTTAAGCACTTTTGAATTCACAGCAAATAGTGAATGCGTGTCTCAGAATTTGAAGGACTGGAGGATTTCATGTAATTGGCTACTCTTCTTCTATTGCTTTTTTAAAAATTCAGCTGATTCTTCACCCATACCGTAAATACTTCCCATATTATTTATAAGACCTTAGTGCAATCTTCTCTTTTGAGCTCTCTACCTACATAAGACAAAATTTAGAGATTGCTTGTCAAAGAAAGTGTCAGCTGAGTTTCCTAGGCAACTTGCTAAAGATACCTATATATCTAAAGATAGACATAATAGGTATAATAATGTCAGTATCTGAACATGATTTTCCATCTTAAATCTTCATTTCTATAACCAATATGAGATATTTAGGATAGATTCAGAAAATTCATGTATCGCACATTTTTTTTTTGTTATTTGTGGCAATTTATTGCAATTTATTCATACAAAAGCAAAACAGTCAATGAAAAATATTGTGAGGTATACATAGGAAAGGAGTTCTCTGCTGATGGGCAAGATTTATAATACAATCCGTTGCATAATTATGCCAGTCTAAGGCCTTGTCTTCCCCATGGAGCAGAATGAGGTGGTAGAAACCTGAGGTGATAGAATGGGTTGTACCACTTCAGACAGTAGGTGGGGAGAGTCACATTTTAATGCTCTTCCATGAAAAACTCCTACAAATAAAAAATAAGACATTAGAACAGATACCAGGCTACCCTTTTGTGTGTTGTGCTAGTTTACTTGGG